GCGTCCGCGACGGCCTTGTCAGGGTCGATGAAGTCATCAGTAGGAAGGTCTCCTAAAAACTGTTGAGTCGCCGATAATCGCGGATTAATTCCCAAATGGAGCACTGCTGGTGCGTAGCCCGTTACTGAATGAACAGTTGCATTAATATTGTCCTCTATTGCTGCTAATGCAGATGTCCACATGTTTTCACTTTTGTCTGTAAGTGTCGCACGTAATAGGTTGAAAACTGTTCGCATGACACGTTCAACTTGCCCATTTCCTCTCGGTATACCTGTCGCAATATGATGCAGTGTTACACCTTGTTCACTGAGGAAATTTCGAAACATTACCGATGTAAAAGCTGCTGCTCGGTCTGCTATAATGCGTCGTGGTTTTCCCAGTTCCTTAAAAACGGACATTAAGGCACGAATTGAGCATTCAGACGTTTTCTTTGGTATCGGTAGAAGTCGACAATATTTGGAAAATGCATCAATTATGACTAAAATTTGCGTGCATCCATTAGATTTAACTAGCGGGCCAGCATGGTCGATGTGCCATGTATCTAAAATGTCATTTGGTTTTTCACCACGTTGCCACAGTCCGCGTCTAGGACCGGTATGCGATTTACCAATAACACACGATCGGCAATTGTTTATGTACTTTTTCAAACATCTACCCATTTTGGGCCAGACTAAATCCTGTCGCATCTTCTGAATACACTTGTCCCAGCCAATATGTGACGATAGGTCATGGTATAATTGCATCGTAAGCAAACGTGCGGCCACTGGTACAAAACACTTGGGTGGATTTGTTTTGGTTACGACAGTGTTATTTAAAACAGTGTAGTGAGGGTCAGCATCCGGATTATTAAATATTTCTCGACAGAAATCGTCATTGTTTTGAAACTCCCGTAATGTTTGTGTATCATTGAGTTTATTTGGGTTTATGGTTTTTAATGCACACATTTTTAACTCACGGTTATCATCCACGGGATTTCTACTTAAATAATCCACATGCGTCATTTTATTCCCAGGCCGATATTCGATTGTAAAATCGTAATCTTGTAATTTAACCCACCAGCGCGCAACACGGGGGTGTAAATCTTTTTTTAAGGCAGTTGCCCGTACTGCGTTGCAGTCGGTATACACTGTAAAATGTACTCCGTACAGATACACTCGAAAATGTTCAACTCCTTCCACTAAGGCCAGTGTTTCCAAATCGTAAGAGTGGTATCTCGATTCATACTCCGTAGTTCGGCGGCTGAAGTATGCAACAGGTCGGGTTACACCATTTTCTTTCTGAAGGAGCGCAGCTCCAATTCCCACCGAACTTGCGTCAGTATGCAACTCACAACTTAACTCTGGATTATAAATCCGTAGTACAGGTGGCTCAGTTAATTTATTTATAATTAATTGTCTGGCGTTTTCACACTCTGAAGTCCACTCGAAAACATAGTTTTTGCGTAATAACGCTGATATGGGTGCCGTTAATTTAGAAAAACCCTTAATAAATCTACGAAAATAACCGGCAAGTCCCATAAACTGACGTACTCCTTTCACATCTGAGGGTGGTAGCGTACAAGATAAAGCCTTAACTTTCAGCACACTGGGACGGATTGATCCTTCACTTATACTGACACCAAGATATTCAGTTTCTAGCGCGAAGAATACACATTTATTGTAGTTTAAGGAGAATCCGTGTGTCGATAGCGCACATAACACTTCCTCCAAATTCTGCAGTCCCTCTTCTATGGTTGCCGATGGTACAAGGACATCATCTAGATAAACAAATGCCTTGTTACTCTTCAATTCTCCCAGTGCTTCATCTATGGCACGCTGATAGATCGAAGGGGCATTAACATAACCAAACGGCATTCGATTGAACTCATAATGTCCATCAGGTGTAATGAAGGCAGTGATATGCTTCGAATCTTCTTCTATTTGCATTTGATAAAACCCGGACTTCATATCTAATGTAGTAAAATATTTTGCTTTAGACAAAGCGTTAATTTGATCCTGAATAAGAGGCAGAGGATACCTCTCTTTAACCACCTTTTTGTTCAAGTCGCGATAATCCACGCACATTCGAACCTCACCATTCTTTTTCTTAACAAGTACAATGGGACTGGCGTACTCCGATCGGCTTTTGCGAATAACTCCAGTACTTAAAAGGTCCTCTATTATTTTTTTGAGCTGAAAACGTTCTTGATAGGCTAATCGTCGGGGGCGATATGCCACTGGTGTTGGATCTTTTAACTTTATTGTCATTTTACCGCAGGTAATGTGGTCTGGTGTTTTCTTTTTATATACCTGCAACAAACGTTCTAGTCGTAGTTTCAGACTATCCTCTAGTCCAGTTTGATTTATTCTTATATCATCTGTACTCCTTGAAATAAATATTTTTGGTATATTGTGTATGTTATAATGTAATTCGAGTCCGTCAGCATCTTTTTCGACCTTCAGACAAGGCCGGCTGATCACGTCCCAGCCTATTATGACGTCGATATTGCCGGGTATCACATTATCGGGTACAACAGTAAAGCTTATTTCTAAAGTTACTGTTGGCAAAACAGTTATTACGTCACAAACACCAATTGTATGCACAACATTTGCTCCAAGTCCCGAAAAAGCGCTTACGTTTTCACTCGGCCGAATAGTTCCATTTAATGTTTTTACAACTGAATATTTAATTATCGACACGTCAGCGCCACTATCAATCAGATATGTGAATAACGGAGCTTGGACTCTGCACAATAACATGGCTATTGGTGTGGAGTTTAGATTGCGTCATTTCTTTATCGAAAATGCCTTCTTCGGTTTTCCGTGTTTATACCAGCAGTTTTGATCGGTGTGTCCTATCATTTTGCAGTGATCGCATGTAGAAACGGTAGTTTCCTTGGGTTTCGGGTCTGTGCTAGAACTCTGTGGTAAGTCTTCTTTACGAAGGGTTTTACACTTATTCTGATGATGACCTTGCCGGCCACATTTAAAACATCTCCCCGTAAATTCCTTGAACGGCCGCTTTCTTGATACCTGATCAACGCCTCGCACGTGACGTTCTAGTCTTCGAGCGCCGGACGGTCCTGCTACGTCATTTCGTTTAGTGCGACGCGCATCAAATTCTCCAAAAAGCTTTAATACCTCACGTTCATTATTTGGCTTTTGGATTCTAATAGCGACACTGGCCTCGTTATGGCTTAGACCATATTCAACCATACTAAGAACAGTATGCCACGGCAACGTATCGCAAAATCTGTTGATCAGTCGTAATTTTTGATTGCCATAATCACAGAGAGACTCACAATCGGTGCTCCGCAGAGTGGTTGCTGCATATGCTCTGGCTCCTGGTGTTTCCGTATCGGGGAAAGCAATAATTAAATCTTCGCAGAAATTAGTCCACGTTCTGCTAAGAGGTCGCCAGTCACAATAATAGCGATAGCCCCGATGTCGGAGAGCGTCTCCTGCTTTAGCTATCATCAGCATGTCACTCACATTTAACTCAACTTTTAATTTAGTGCAGTCATCCAACCATTCTTTTATTGGATAAGCACTTTTATCAGGGTCAAAACTTGAGATGCGAAATGACGAGTTCGACACTGGCGCAAACTCAGTAACATGCGCATTTCTGACTGCGTTGTTGCTGCTTTCTCCTGCTAACGCTGGACGAACTGTTGGCTCCGCAGATGTCGCCATCTTTGATTGACGCATTAATTCGGCTAGTTGTTGCTGTTGACCTGCTACCAATTGTATAAGTGTCTCTTGCCACTGTATTTTCACTTCAGATGGTCCTAAGACCCTTTCGTCCTCTTCAGAATCACTTCCAACTATGTCTCTTTGTTCATCTACGGGTTCACGAGGTACTTTGTTGTCGGCCATCTTGGACCGCGCCTTGTTCACTATTTTAATTGCTGGCTTTTCTAATTGTTTTTAAATAACATTAAGCACGGGAATGATCCCACTTCTGATGTAAACAAGTGGTTAATAATTAGGGGTAACTACCCCGAAGAAAACAAAAACTTAGAAAGCAATCTTCACTTTATTGTGCGTCGACTACACTCTATGATACGTGATATTATACTACTTCGCTGTACTCTTCCCTCTCCTCTGCTCTGCTCTCCCTGGCCTGCGGAATTTGCTGTCGTGGCAGGAATGCCCTTTGCCGATGGATGACTGATACTAATTTGGGAGGCCCAAGTTGGGTGGTAGTGACGATTAGGGGAATATTTTAAATACCGCTAACATATATATATTGTGATAGTTCATAATGTACAACTGTTGATAATTTTCTTACCTTTGCTATATTTATTCTGCTTCATTGCTTCTTCTAGATCTCCTAATTTATTTGGGCACCAGCTCACACAAGCAAATAGTTGAAATATAGTTTAGAAGTTCTTGTTATAAATCCAGATTGAGTTAAGAGCAATTATACCTACTTTTAGAACATGAGATATCTTATCTGAGGGTGCGGTTCTAAGATTTGAAGTTTTGATTTAAAATTTTATTTCATCAAATAAATTTAGATAATGTTCTTGAAAAGAAACTGAAAATTACTAGAATTTGAATTTCAAATAGGTACTATATCTCTTAAAAATGAATTTCAAATAATTCAATTTTTACTATTCAATTTTATTTCAAATTTAAATAAAAAAATTTATGTGATTACTTTACACAATTTATTTTTAAATAGAAGTGTTCCTAATCTACCTACATCACTACCTAATCTATTACTTAAAATTATATCATAAATTCTATGTTTGCAATATGAATGTTCGAAGTTAAATTTTGCATAAGTCTGGTTAATATTCTTAGTTTACACCTTGCAAAACTATCCGGCAGTAATTTATCTCCTTCGGTCCTTGATCGCCTGATACTCGTTCTCCTACCAACTTCAACTCGTTCTGATTCCTGCTAGTCCACTAACTGTCCTTAATTGACATCTGTCATTTCCTTTCCTAGGATTTTTAACTTCTGGGTTAGTCCTATTTATTACTACGCCTTGTTGTGCTACTGGGTTATTTATGCTGTCTCATGCCTCACTGACGTTACTTTAGATAATTGTTATTTATTCCGAGTACCTTGTAAAATACAGATTCCATATTATCTGAAACAAAAAACAAATTCAGTATTATAATTTTTGTGTAACATTAAAATTACTGTTTTGAAATTACATACTTGCTAGTTTTAGAAATGCTTATTTATTTGTTTGGTTCTTGAATGTTTCCTACAGGTTACAGATTGCTGAAAACATTTTAAATAATGCTCTGTATACTATTAGTAATATATGAGTAAAACTTTGATTATAGATATATTTGAGTAATGTTTTATGTCATATAATAAAAAAAAACAATAACAAATAATGATTATTAATATATTTTAACGTTTTGGCACCTTACCTTTAATTTAACTCGATTTATTTTGTTTGTGGCTTTCTCATTTTAGATACCTATTTCTGATGGATCCCAAATTAGATAATGTAGGCATTGCGTGCTTCTTAAGTCTGACTTTTGAAAATTCTGCAGACATTTTGTGATTTAATACAAATTGCAATTTTACTAGATCCGGTGTAAAATGTTATAACTTCTGCAGATCATGACGACCACGACGTTTCATCCACTTCATGCATCTAAAGAATTTCATTTTAAAAATAATTTAAAGTAAGATAGGTACATATTAATATAGGTATAATGTTTTTCAATTATTACTTATTAATATTTTCTTTAAATCCCAGCTTTTAAACTTGATGTTCTTAATTAATCAGAATTGAAAAGAAACTTAATTATAAGTTGCTCCCAGTATAATTGAAGCAACTGCGAACACAACGATAATAAACTATTTTAAAATTAACTTTTAGCAAAAGAATTGTTGTAATGTACATACAATTCACAATGATGTTGAAATGTAACAAATATTGCCTGTACTCTGTACTGTACAAAGACATTCTCCCGTTAGAATAAACTGAAGTAAAGCATTTTTTGCCATAATAAAGTAATTATATAATTACGTAAATTTCTTGCACCAAATATTTGCATTTGTAATAATTTTACGTTTGCTTTAAATTCTCAGAAAAAAGGTTAGGTTATGGTATACTGTTTATTAATTATTACCAACGACAAGCTGCGTTTGGTTCTCAGGTTCAAAACATTCTGAATTGAAATTTACTGTAAGATACTTCCTAAAATTTATATTTCAATTAAATAAATAAGCTAAGCATTTGATGCATTATTAAAGTATTTGGATCAAACAGATTATATTGATATAACTG